CAAACCCCAATATGTTTTCCAAAGAAATTGGGGCATCTGGTCTGTATTTTTAGGGGCTCCATTATACCCCATTTCTTTCCTCAAAGTCTCGAGAGATTAGCACCCTTGGATTTTCTTCTCTCAGAGAAAACAGATAATTGCCTTTTAACTTCAGGAAATGGAGGCAACATCTCGCTCCGATCATCGCACTGGGGGCCCCACGACAATATTTTGCTACAACATTTACCAGTCACCCTTCAGTCCTATTTGCCTTTTCAAACTTATTTGGGCACAAGGATTCTTCCCCAGCTGTGGAAAACGCCCTTGTTTTTCCTTTTTCCCCCAAACCGGGAAATAGGGGCATGAACCCCCCATATTTTTCCATTGCTCTTTCCAGTGCAGTTTGCAAAGTGATGGAACGCCTGGTAAATGACGTTTTTTGGTATTTTGAGACACACAACATCTCTCCGCTCGAAATAGGCTTTCGTAAGGGGGCCGTTCTACATAGACCCCTTTCTAACTTGGGGTACGTATGTTCTAATGCCCCCCCGCGAATAACCCCAATTATTTCCATATTTTTTGACCTTTTAAAAGGGATAGACAAACTTTGGGGGTTTTTATTTGGCCCAAGCCCCCTCCTTAGGCCTTTTATTATTATTATTTTTAATCAAGGGGGAAGCGCTAAAACCCGGGGGATTAACAGCGCCTGGGGGGGGGGGTGGGAAGGGATTTCAGGCTTTAATTCGGTAACTGGGGCACAGTCCAATTCCCCAAATAAGAGCCCCTCACCAACATCAAGGAACCTTCCTTTAGGGGGCTTGGCCTTTGAGGCAATCTACCTCCTTCCTAAAGAACTTTTTTAAGACAGGATTTCTGTGTTCGGGTTAAAAATGGCTCTCCCGGACTTTATCCCAAACTGAAGGTGCCCCCCCGGGTGTTTTCTAACAAAACTTTTTTTCTCCTTGCTATAAATATTTGGCCTCTAGTTTTCCATCCCAAAATTTGGTCATCACTCTTGTTGATGACTTTGCTATTGCCGTGCAGGCCGACTGCAATCATTACAATTTCTCTCCAGCAGGGGGTCGCCGGTTTCCAATTTGGGCCACCACCATGGGTTTTTAAATTTCCAGTACCAAAAATCACCAAATTACTTTCACTGACGCTCTGTCTCTCCCATCATCCCTTTTTACCTCTATGGCTCCCCCTATCCCTGAACGTGATAGCAGGTTTCTAGGCCCCCCCTTTGACCCTAGGTTTTTCTTTGGGAAACCTCACATTACCTCTCGAAGACAACTTGTCACAGCCGGCTGAACCTTTTTAAAACCCTTTCATCTTTCGTGGGGAGCTGATCGCGAAAATTTTCCTTCGCCTACATTCCATCTCATTTTATCGAAACTTGCTATGGGACCGATCTATTCAGTTGCCTCTCCTGCTACCCTATCTACCTCAAACCCCCTTTTTCACCAAAAATTACGTTTTGCCTTGGTGCTTTTCGCTCTTCCCCGTTAGACCTCTAGCAAACGAACGTTCCCCTCCTTTCCCACGCCCGGGTGCCCATTGCCTTGCTACTATGTACCCCTCATATCTCCCAATCCTTCCATTTATAGAGTGGGACCCTATTATAGACATTTTTTGTTCGCCGCCCCTGTTTGCTCCCAAACCCTTCCTCTTTACCCACTTTCTCTTGTCTTTTCTTCAATTTCCACCTTTCTATGTTTGTAGATCTCACTTTTCCCTAACCCCCCCCAGGAATTCCAGCTGTTCGATCTGTTCTTTTTCCCCTCCCTTGCTCAAAGCCCAACTGTCTACGGGAGCTTCCACTCTCTCTTTCTTTGGCCACTTCCCCTCCTTTTCGGCATGCAGTGTACACGATGGCTCTAAGTCTTCTGAGGTGTAGGGTTACAGCAGGGTTTCCGGACAGCATCATACGGAGCATTTTTTCTATCTTTAGTAGTATCTTTACTGCTGAATTGTATGCCTTCTTGCAGCCTTTACCCTATTGCAAATATACCCGTTCTCTTTGTGGGTTTTCCCCGATCCCTTAGTGCTTTACAGGCTATACAGAAATTTGATACACCCCCCCTTAGTCCTCCGATCCCCTTTTGGGTAGCCGCACTCTACCAACTAAAGATATTGTTTTTTTGTTGGGGCCCTGGTCATTTTGATGTAAGGGGAAGAACGGGGACACTGCTGTGCGGTCACAGTCAGACCTCCCAGTTTATATAGGTGTTCCTTTCGACTAAATTTTTGCAATATTTTCCCCCTTTACACCCGTTTTGGGAAAAACGTTTTTCTCCTTTTCGGGAACAAACTTCCACATTAAACCCAGTATAGGTTTCTGGCCATCTCTTGTCACCCCGTGCTGAGGGGGGAGCTACCCTCTCCCATCCGCATTGGCCCTACTTGTCTTACTCATGGAGAGGGCCCTGCTCTCTCGTGGGAATTTTCAGGGTTCCCTTACGGGCACCAAATTCTGTTAGACTGCCCCCTTTTCAAAAAGCAGGCGAATTTACCTCCCTCGTCGTCTTCGCTCCGTGTCTCCCTTTTTTACCCTTCCCCCCTCGCTGATGGACCCCCCCTTTCACCGGGCCCCTCAATTTACTTTTTTTACAAAAACGACTTCCAAAAATCTGAACCCCTTTAGCCCCTTTTTACCCCGATCCTTGCTACCCTCCACCCTGCCCCGCTGTTTTCTGTAATCTACTGATTGCCCTCCCCCCTTTTGCCGCCCAATACCCTCGCTTCCTTTCCTACCCTGCAGCGCTGTATAGCCCTTGTGGCTTAGCGCTTCTTTTTTATTATAATAATTGGTATACCAGGAAAAGTGTACGGTAGGGGTTTTTATTTAAAGAATTAAGAGGTAAGACAGACTGTAGGATTGCGGATGAGCAAGGAGGTTTTAGAGTGGGTAGGGGATGTGTAGATCAAGTGTTTACATTGAAGCATATATGTGAACGGTATTTAGATAAAGGTAGGGAAGTTTTTATTGCATTTATGTATTTAGAAAAGGCATATTTTAGAGTGGATAGGGGAGCAATGTGGCAGATGTTACAAGTACAGTGGAACCTCAAATATCGAACTGCTCCCAGCTCAACCAATTTTGTAAGTGCTTTTATAAGTGTATTTTTGAGGGTCTGAAATGAACTAATCTAATTTACATTATTCTTAATGGGAATAAATTCATTCGGTAACGGCACTCGAACAGCCGTCTGGAACGAAGAAAGTTCGATATTTGAGGTTCCACTGTATATGGAATAGGTGGTAAGTTACTAAATGCTGTAAAGAGTTTTTATGAGGATGGTGAGGCTCAGGTTAGGGTGTGTAGAAGAGAGGGAGACTACTTCCCGGTAAAAGCATATTTTAGAGTGGATAGGGGAGCAATGTGGCAGATGTTACAAGTACAGTGGAACCTCAAATATCGAACTGCTCCCAGCTCAACCAATTTTGTAAGTGCTTTTATAAGTGTATTTTTGAGGGTCTGAAATGAACTAATCTAATTTACATTATTCTTGATGGGAATAAATTCATTCGGTAACGGCACTCGAACAGCCGTCTGGAACGAAGAAAGTTCGATATTTGAGGTTCCACTGTATATGGAATAGGTGGTAAGTTACTAAATGCTGTAAAGAGTTTTTATGAGGATGGTGAGGCTCAGGTTAGGGTGTGTAGAAGAGAGGGAGACTACTTCCCGGTAAAAGTAGGTCTTAGACAGGGATGTGTAATGTCACCATGGTTGTTTAATATATTTATAGATGGGGTTGTAAAAGTAAATGCTAGGGTGTTCAGGAGAGGGGGTGGGATTAAATTATGGGGAATCAAATACAAAATGAGAATTGACAGAATTACTTTTTGCTGATGATACTGTGCTTATGGGAGATTCTAAAGAAAAATTGCAATGGTTAGTAGACGAGTTTGGGAGTGTGTGTAAAGGTAGAAAGTTGAAAGTGAACATAGAAAAGAGTAAGGTGATGAGGGTATCCAATGATTTAGTTAAAGAAAAATTGGATATCAAATTTGGGGAAGAGTATGGAAGAAGTGAATGTTTTCAGATATTTGGGAGTTGTGTCAGCGGATGGATTTGTGAAGGATGAGGTTAATCATAGAATTGATGAAGGAAAAAAGGCGAGTGGTGCATTGAGGTATATGTGGAGACAAAAAAGGCTTTCTATATAGGCAAAGAAGGGAATGTATGAAAGTATAGTAGTGCCAACACACTTATATGGGTGTGAAGCTTTGTTTGTAAATGCTGCAGCGAAGAGGCGGTGGAGATGTCCTGTCTAAGGGCAATGTGTGGTGTGAATATTATACAGAAAATTTGGAGTGTGGAAGTTAGGAGCTAACAAAAGTATTAGTCAGAGGGCTGAAGAGGGGTTGTTGAGGTGGTTTGGTCATTTAGAGAGAATGGATCAAAGTAGAATGACATGGAGAGAGTATAAATCTGTAGGGGAAGGAAGGTGTGGTAGAGGTCGTCCTTGAAAAGGTTGGAGGGAAGGGGTAAAGGAGGTGCGTGAGCATGTTAGATAGTGAATGGAGACGAATGGTATTTGGGACCTGACGAGCTGTTGGAGTATGAGCAGGGTAATATTTAGTGAAGGGATTCAGGAAAACCAGTTATTTTTATGTAGCCAGACTTAAGTCCTGGAAATGGGAAGTACAATGCCTGCACTTTAAAGGAAGGGTTTGGGATATTGGCAGTTTGGAAGGATATACTGTGTATCTTTATACGTATATGCTTCTGAGCGCCTCTGCAAAAAACAGTGAGTATGTGAGAGTGAGTTGAAAGTGTTGAATGATGATGAAAGGATTTTCTTTCTTTTTTGGGTCACCCTGCCTTGGGGGGGGGGGAACACACAAAGCACTGTTAGTTGTTCCCTAGTTGATCTTTAACATTTGTAGATATAATCATAACTGAGCACTAAACCCACAAGGGTTAATACAGCACTTAAAATTGTAATTCCAGTGTCATTACCTACCCTGTGTAGTTATATACAAGTTTATTTTCAAGGATAATTATACTCGACTTGAAAGTTAACAAAAATAATTTCATATATACAGTACACAAATTCTTCAGTGTGGTGCAGGTACAAATTTAAAAAAAAAAAAAATTGTTCATAGTCATTCCTAAATTTTTGAACTATTTCCATGATTTTATGTGCAGTACAATTGTACCAATTAATTTATGCAAATAACCAGGAAACATCATGGCAACTATTGATGAACAAACATTTCTATTAGTTTTAAAAAGTTGTACATAAAGCACAAAGCAGAAAACAATATTTACAATACAGTCAACCATATGAAGATACTCCAGTACCCAGACTCTTCATGAGAGTATAACAGTCTTGAAGTCTTCTTTTATCACCGAATTTTTTCAAGTGTTTTTGCTGCTTCTGCTAGCATCCCTGCTCTTTCACCAGGCGAAGACAGTAGTGGTGATGGAAGATGTCTACATGCCAGCATTAATGCTGTGGCATGCTCTCGATCACCTGTAAAACCTCCAAGTTTCTTTTCTGTTTGGGAACAAAAATTTAAATTACTATGATGGAGAAAAAAAAAAAAAAATGGGTGGGTAATAGCACTTTCATGATACTGGACACTTGCCACCAAGGTATGGTGATCCAGAGAAGAAACATACTACCAGTAACTAGTACCTCTAAATGTATAGACATGTGCAATGTATGAGGAACTCTTTAGATGTTTTGTTCAGGAAGCTCCTGGCGAGTAAAAAATTTATTTCCAGAAGGTAGTTACACAATTTGATGGCATTTAGTAGTACATGGTAAACTCCCATTATGCAAAGAATTTCATGCAAGCTAATAATAAAAACATAACCTCTGGTTATTGCATTCAGTAGGAAGCACTAAACCCATAGGGATCATCTACAATCATGGGGGTATTAGTGAAGGTTAGTGCTTAGGAAAGTGAGAAGTAACCAGGTTTGATCCAAGGACAGTAAAATCCAATTCCTTAGAGCAACAGTGGTATCAAGGAACCTCCCTTGAGGGGGGGGGGGTTCTTATTTTTAATTGTAGCTTGCCTGAAATGCTTTGCACAACCAGGGGCTTTTCATGTACAGTACTGTCATCCATGTATGATGTATCGAAATACAAATTCTCCATTTGTAATTTCTTTTTTTTTCACAATACCTGTCTTGTTAGGAGTAAAGGATATCACAATTTAAATGACCATCTAAACCTAGTTCTAAAGAATGATGCATTGAAGAGAATTGTGAAATACACAGGAAAATGGTTTATGACTAAAAACTTTTTAGATGGAAAAAAAGAGAGCCATGTAAAGGATAAACTATATTCATATTCTATATTTAAATGAACCCAAAAATGCTTACCTTTTCCACAAATAACAGATGGCTTGTTGGATCTGTGCCTCAGTGACCTATCCAGCAACTGCTGTGTTCTAGCAGGTGAGGCTCCTGCCATCATTCGCAGTGTTGCTTCATGCAAGAACACACGAGCAAGTGCACCCTGTGAATAAGTGATACTTTTGGATGGCAAATATATTTATGGATTAATTTAATTTTTAATCAAACATTTCTATATTGAGCAAACTAATCATGGGAGTACAACTTACAGGAATGTGCTGAACTAATTTCCGCAGCAGAGCCAAATCATGTTGGAATCCCTGGAGTACATGTGCTGGTGCTACAGTTAGTGTGTCACAATCAGTAATGGACTCCCCCTCCCACACAACTGTCCGAACACCAAGAAGCGAGTCCACCACTATCAGTTGAACACTCTAAAAAAAATAAAATTTAAAAAAACTAACATTATATTAATTAGGTAGCCCTTGTGGCTTAGCACTTCTTTTTGATTACAATAATATATTAATTAGGATGCACCAACTCAGTTTAGCATTTCTCCACTTAAAGTAAAATAACATAGGGAAGCTGTATAGACCTTGTGGCTTAGCGCTTCTTTTTGATTATAATAACAACATAGGGAAGACTAAACCAACTGAGCTCATATATCATATATATTTTACCTTGTTACTCCTGCATGATAAACTGTTGCTTCAGCCAACTCTCAAGGAAAGCAATGCAGAAGCACTGCAATATAATTGCTCTGCAATGCAACTACAATGCATCCTTGTCAGAGGCAAGATCAATGTTTTATAGTAGTTCCAACTTATGCTGAAATGTACTGGTATTGCCAAGCGTAATAAATTATTATAATTTAAAAAATTTCCTTACTCTTTCTTTTAAATATTCACACTTTATGTAAAAGTGTTGTTGCAAAGAATTGTTAAGATACTGGAAAATATAATATGAAAACAAGAACACAGTAACCGCCCAGGGAGGTACTACCGTCCTGTCGAGTGAGTGTAAAACAGAAACCAGTAATTGTTGTACATGATGGTAGGATTGGTGTCTTATTTTGTCTCAAACGTGTGGGATACCAGTTATATGTTGCTACTTCTACTTGCACTTAAAGTCACACTACACATGCATATATATAAATGCCCTTTTGGGTTTTCTTCTATTTTCTTAATAGTTTTTTTCATTTCCTTTTATTTACATGGGAAAGTGGAACAGAATTGTTCCTCCATAAGCTATGCCTGTCGTAAGAGGCAACTAAAATGCTGCAAGCAAGGGGCTAGTAACCCCTTCTCCTGTGTACATTACTAAATTTAAAAAGAGAAACTTTCATTTTTCTTTTTAAGGTCGCCTGTCTCAGTGGGATACGGTCGAGTCATTTAAAAAAAAAAAAAAAATGCGTATGATATGAATTAGCTAAAACATAAATCAGAATAACATCTTTCCCATAATACTTTCACACTAAGCAGCATCACAAATACAATATTGCCACAAGAATAAAACGTCTAATGAATGCCCTTGATCTAGTGTTGAGCACTTCACACACACTGTCAATGTCAAAAGATTCATTATCCTAACACTCTCCACAAAGTCCTGTTTAATTTCAATTTTGCAATTAACATGCATGGCAGTTTCTCATCATATCTATTTTCTTTGCAGACATTTTTCGCAATGAAGTCTTAACAATACACTATATGGGGCTCCAGCATGGAAGCCACACCTAATCAATATAAAGCAACTTAAGAAAAGCTAGAAGTTTGATTTTCTGGAACTGAATGAGGCAAACTTACAAAGGAAGAGTAAAGGAATTACACTTATGAAGAATATTATGATGTAAAAAACACAGCACTTAAAAATTACCAGTTAGGAGTAAAAAAAAAATAGGCTCATCAAGATGCAAGGAAAACGATCATTGCTAAGTATGCAATGTGCCATAAGGATGCTATGAAATTTCAAGTTTCAGGGTAGTCTGAAAGCATCAACTAGATTGTTTAGTGGTGGAAATCAACTCTAAACATGGTATTATTTTGTAACAAATGGTTTAAAAAACCGACAAGTTGAAGATTGAGACACTTGTGCAACATACGATGGACTGAACACATTGACTCCAGGCTGCGGGACTGATTACCTCAAACTTCTCCTCTCCTTACACCTTTCTGCTTTGTATTGGACTGATGAAGCCACTGTGTGGCAAAACTTTTCCTCAATAAAGATTCCCATATGGTGCATAAGTGTCTCAATCTTCAACATGATATTATTTTACTATACTCTTCAACAAATCCCTTCAATCTAAAACCTCCCACAAAATGAAATAGTAACCCCTTCAACAAAATTACAGCTTAGCGTACAATTATTATAACACGAAGGGGTAAAACCGTGTGCTTTATTCAGTGCTTGACTAATGTTTTACATGATACATGTCACAGAATTTGGTTTACAAAAGCAGTTTCTCGCATAGAAAATCCCATGATGATGCAAAGAATCTTGGGCACATTAAAACTACAACTTAACACTGGATAATGCTAGCATTAGGCATACACTTAATGTAAAACCTGCAATACAAAAACATCTGAAAACAATTCACAAACAGGCTCATAGACAACCACACACTATACAGTACATTCTTTCTTTCTTTCAACACACCGGCCATATCCCACCAAGGCAGGGTGGCCCAAAAATAAAAACGAAAGTTTCTCTTTTAAATTTAGTAATTTATACGGGAGAAGGGGTTACTAGCCCCTTGCTCCCGGCATTTTAGTCGCCTCTTACAACACGCATGGCTTACGGAGGAAGAATTCTGTTCCACTTCCCCATGGAGATAAGAGGAAATAAACAAGAACAAGAACTAGAAAGAAAATAGAAGAATACCCAGAGGGGTGTGTACATATATGCTTGTACATGTATGTGTAGTGTGACCTAAGTGCAATAGAAGTAGCAAGACATACCTGAAATCTTGCATGTTTATGAGACAGACAAAAGACACCAGCAATCCTACCATCATGTAAAACAATTAAAGGCTTTCGTTTTACACTCACTTGGCAGGACGGTAGTACCTCCCTGGGCGGCTGCTGTTTACCAACCTACTACCTAGGATACAGTACATACAGACCTCAAATGTTGAATTAATAATGAGAGGCACTCTAAACAGCATTATAATCATTAAGTAGTATACAGTGGACCCCCGGTTTATGATATTATTTCATTCCAGAAGTATGTTCAGGTGCCATTACTGAACGAATTTGTTCCCATAAGGAACATTGTGAATTAGATTAGTCCATTTCAGACCCCCAAACATACACATACAAACGTACTTGCATAAATACACTTACATAATTGGTCGCATTGGGAGCTGATCGTAAAGCAGGGGTCCACTGTATTGACAAAGAAGTGCTAAACCTATGACAGTCATTCAAGAAGGAATAAGGCTGAGAGCTGACAAGTGGTTGAAAAGACACTTAAAAAAAAATAACTACATTCACTTACAAGACCAAAAAAGAATAAAAACATGAACACGCGAAATGCTGAGAGGTAATCATGTTAGCCAAGCATCAGTGACGTCAGGATATACAGTAATCGATGCTTCCAAATTTGTTTTTGTAATAGGTTTTCCTAAAATATACATTCTTCTGATCTATTTGAGAGTATCTGTGACACACTTTACCTGTGGGTACCATGCAGTAAGTACCTCTGATAGTCTACACATGTAGAGCAAGCTGTATAAAACCTACACAAATCAAGATACCAAAATACTGAATGATCTCTAATATTTAACTAATCTGTTTAATATTAAACATTTGAAAGAAATTTTAATAAAGAACATGTCTCTTGCCATTTATGTGTATCTTACTATTTTATAATTATTATTACACAAACTATTAATTTTAAGTTTTAGTATATTAAATATTTGTAATTACTGTATTTACAATGCTACTAATCTAAAATAGCTTACATTTTCCAACTGCAATCTTATAGATCAGTTCTGTATTATTTCACTTTACTTTCCTATATTAATGTTCATAAACTGCTGTGTTAACTCAGGAAATAAGGAAACCTTCTATGCCAATTATAGTAATCATTTATAAATTTAAACTGCACAACTCTTAATCCCCTATGTCATTCTAATTCTCTCACATTATGCATAGTTTATTTTGTCACTGAGAAATAATCTTAGTACTTTTAGGTTTAACTTCAGTTCTGGGTACATTGCTTAATTAAATGGACTTCACAGAAAATGCTCACATCACCTGTATTTTGTAGTAGCAGCTGTCAATGACAGTCTCCACCACCACATCACCATAACACTAATAAAAGTTTACCAATTTAACCCTTTGACTGTTTCGGTTGTATATATACGTCTTATGAGGTACTGTGTTTGACGTATATATACAATGGACCCCCGCTTAACGATCACCTCCGAATGCGACCAATTATGTAAGTGTATTTATGTAAGTGCGTTTGTACGTGTATGTTTGGGGGTCTGAAATGGACTAATCTACTTCACAATAATCCTTATGGGAAAAAATTCGGTCAGTACTGGCACCTGAACATACTACTGGAATGAAAAAAGTTCGTTAACCGGGGGTCCACTGTACTCATAAATTCTAGTGGCTTCAAATCAAGCAGGAGAAGCTGGTAGGCCCACATGTGAGAATGGGTCTGTGTGGTCAGTGTGCACCATATAAAAAAATCCTGGACCATGCAGTACATAATGAGAAAAAAAAACTTCAACCATTTTTTTTAAATTAAAACGCCGACTTTGTGGTCTATTTTCGTATAGTATTTATTGTTGTATTTTCGTTTTCTTGGTCTCATTTGATAGAATGGAAAACATATTATAGAAATAGAGGTGATTTTGACTGGTTTTTCTATAAAAAGAACCTGGAAATGGAGCTCAAATTAGGGGAAATGTTTGATTTTTGCCGATGTTCAAAAGTAAACAAATGATGTCATTGTCCAATAAATGTCCAACTAGCCATTATAATATGAAGTAATGAATGGGGTGACATTATTTGTACAATTTTTACAGTATTGCAGTAGTCTGCATAACAGAATATCCTCTATTTTTTGTTTGAATAAAAATTCAAAATAGAAAGCAAGAGTAATATCAGAGGGGCCTGGAGATGTGACTGATGAACAAAGAAAATGTTATTTTAGAGCCAGGAATGTCTGCATTGTTCAATCTGGACCTTATTTTGAAATTTCATAATTTTTAATTTTCGTGAAATTGGCCAAATTGCAAATTTCTCAGTTTCTTGTACTCAACCGATAGAAAAAATGGAGTTCTAAAGAAATAGCTATGAGTTTGATTGACTGGTACAATGGAATTAGCCGAAAATAGGGCTCAAAGTGGGCGAAATAGCTGATTTGTAAATATCGACGAGGTCGCTAACCTCGCGAGAGCGTAATTCCGTCAGTTTTACATCAAATTTCTTTTTTTTTTTTTTTTGTGTCATTACAATCGGGAAAAGATTCTCTATCATTTCATAAGAATTTTTTTTTTTTTTTTTTTTGAAATTTTGCAACACCAGGAGACACCTTAGGATTGGGGGTTGCGACAGTCAAGGGGTTAAAGTTATTAGTAAAAAAAATAAAGAAACAAACCTGGACCATTGAATTTGGCTGTTTGTAAGAAGCCTGATGTATTGAATCACTCAAAGCAGAGCCAGCACGTTCACAAAGGCGTAGTATTGATGAGGGATAGCTATGTCCCAGGTGACGTCGTGCTCTAGAGGAAAACAAGAATTTTATCTTACCGACCGTTGCTCAAGACATTAAAAAAAAAAAAAAAACAGCAACTTATCATCATTCAATCAATTAGACTGCAACATCACCCCTGCTTCACACTGCAGGTCCTGCCCTTCACACTTATAGGACTGAAGTCCAGCTAATTGGTTACCCTGAAACCCATCATAAATGTATGTGCATTTCAACAGTATGCCAAGCATTGAAAACCACCTTTCCACTTACTCCAAACTAGCACAATCACAAACCTACTGGAGGCTCAAGCCTCCAACTTTAAACCTCCTTTTCTCCATCCTTTCAACCATTCCTCTGAACAACCCTACCCCTCTTTCTTTCCTCGATTTATACACCCTTTTCATCATCCTTCCCTCTTTTTTTTTTCAACAAACTGGCCATCTTCCACTGAGGTAGGATGACCTGAAAAAGAAAGGCTTTCACCATCATTCACACTGCCAGAGAGGCACAGATACAACAGTTCATACGTACCTCCAAACAGCGAATATCCCCACCCCTCATTTAGAGTGTAGACACTGTGTTTCCCACCTCCATTCACAAATGTTACCATGCTCACATTCCAACAACAACTCATCACATCCCAAAAACTATCTATCTCCACTCACTCCTAACACACACACACATGCCTGCTGGATGTCCAAGCCCATTCCACACAAAACCCCCTTTACCCCCTTCCTCCATCCTTTCCTAGGATGACCCCTACTCCTATCCCTCTTTTTAACATGCTGGTCATCTCCCACATAGGTAGAGTGACCCAAAACAAACACTTTCACCATTATTCACACTATTACTGTCTTGCCAGATGTCCCTATAAACAGCAAATATCCCAAACTCCTCCTTTAGAGTGCAGGCACTGTACTTTTCTCCTCCAGGACACAAGTCTGGCTAACTGGTTTCCCTGAATCCCTTCACAAAATATTACTTTGCTCACACTCCAACAGCTTGTCAAGTCCCAAAACCCATTTGTCTCGACACACTCCTAACTAACACACACACACATGCCCCATGGCCTGGTGACTAAAGCTCTTGCTTCACACAGCGAGGGTCCAGGTTTGATTCCCGGTGAGGGTAGAAACATTGGGCATGTTTCTTTACACCAGTTGTCTATGTTCCCAATCAGTAAAATGGGTACCTGTGTGTTAGTCGACTGGTGTGGGTCGCATCCTGGAACAAACCTGACCAATTTCCCAAAATGCTCTGCATAACAAGTGGCTTTCTATATATTAGTATGTCACTGATGTCAGCTAGGCCTGTATACCTCATACATTATTTATTTTTTATTAACACATCAGCCATTTCCCACCAAGGCAGGGTAGCCCAAAAACGAAAAACTTTCATCATGCCAGAGGCATGCCTACACTACAGTTATTAAACTGCTAACATTAACACCCCTCCTTCAGAGTGCAGACACTGTACTTCCCATATCCAGGATAGTACATGCACCTTGTACATGTACTTGTAGAAAGGAGGGGTGTTAATGTTGCAGTTTAAAAACTGTAGTGTAAAGCACCCTTCTGGCAAGACAGTGATGGAGTGAATGATGGTGAAAGTTTTTCTTTTTCGGGCCACCCTGCCTTGGTGGGAATCGGTCAGTGTGATAATAATAATAATAAAATAATTATTACTGTATGCACCTCATAAAAACTGACTACAATGCCAGGAGCAATAAGTTAGTAACCCCTTCCCTGTATAGCTTAGTAAAAATAAGAAAACCTATCACTCTTATCTTTTCTAGATACCCAAACCACCTCAAGAATCCCTCCTGAGCCCTCTGAATTATACACAATCTTCTCTTTTCTATGCTCCATGCCTCATGCCCACATAAAAGTGTTGGTGCTACTATACTTTGGTACATCACCCCTTTTGCCTCTATAGAAAAACTTATTTCTTTCCACAGGTGAATCACACACTGCCTACCTATTCCCCCCACCCATCTATTTGATGGCTCACCTAGTCTGATAAGACCATCGGCTGGCATGTCTGCTCCAAAATATCAAATATATCCACTCCTCCTTACTCACACCCTCTAATATATCCAAACCAAATATTTGAATACATCCACTTACTCCTTACTCACTTCCTCTAACATGAAAGTCAATCTTTCACTGCCTAGATATTTTTGTTATTTAAAAATGCAAGTGTTTATGAACTAGATATCTTTTGCATATATATATTATATATATTAGGTGTAAAGGTAGAAAGTTGAAAGTGAACACAGGTAAGAGTAAGGTGATGAGGGTATGAAATGATTTAGATAAAGGAAAATGGATATCACATTGGAGGGAGGGAGTATGAAAGAAGTGAAGGTTTTCAGATATTTGGGAGTTGACTTGTCAGCGGATGGGTTTATGAAGGATGAAGTTAACAGTAGAATTGATAAGGAAAAAAGGTGAGTGGTGCATTGAGGTATCTGTGAGACAAAGAATGTTATCTATGGAAGCAAAGAAGGGAATGTATAAGATAATGGTACCAACACTCTTATATGGGTGTGAAGCAAGGGTTGTAAATGTTGCAGCGAGGAGGCGGCTGGAGGCAGTGGAGATGTTATGTCTAAGGGCAATGTGTGGTGTAAATATTATGCAAAGAATTTGTAGTGTGGAAATTAGGAGGTGTGGAGTTACTAAAAGTGTTAGTCAAGAGGGCTGTTGAGGTGGTTTGATCATTTAGAGAGAATGGAACAAAGTAGAATGACTTGGAGAATGTATAAATCTGTAGGGGAAGGAAGACGAGGTAGGGGTCGGTCCCGAAAAGGTTGGAGGGAGGGGGGGTAAAGGAGGTTTTGTGGGCGAGGGGCTTGGACTTCCAGCAAGTGTGCGTGAGAATGTCAGACAGGAGCGAATGGAGATGAAAGGTTTTTGGAACCTGATGAGCTGTTGGAGTTTGAGCAGGGTAATATTTTGTGAAGGGATTCAGAGAAACTGGTTAGCCAGACTTTAGTCCCGGAAATGAGAAGTATAATGCCTGCACTTTAACCCTTTGACTGTTTTCGACGTATAAATACGTCTTACGAGCCAATGTTTCTGACGTATATATACTCAATAATTCTAGCGGCTTCAAATCAAGTGGGAGAAAGCTGGTAGGCCCACATGCGAGAGAATGGGTCTGTGTGGTCAGTGTGCACCACATAAAAAAAATCCTGCAGCACACATTGAGTAATGAGAGAAAAAAAAACTCTGATCGTTTTTTTGGAATAAAACGCCGACTTTGAGGTGTATTTTCGTATAGTATTTATCGTTGTATTCGCGTTTTCATGGTCTTAGGTGATAAAATGGAAAACATATTACAGAAATAGAGATGATTTTCCTTACTTTTATGATGAAAACGACCTTGAAACTGAGCTCAAAGTAGCGGAAATGTTCGATTTTTTACCAATGTTCAAGAGTAAATAAATCACACCACACGTCCAATACACGTCAACTGGGAGTCTAATATTCTTTCACTAGTGCACTGATATTATTTATACCATTTTTACAATAATGCAGTCGTCTGCATAACAGTAAATTTTGTATTTTTTTGTATGAATAAAAAATCAAAATAGAAAGCAATAATAATATAAGAGGGGCCTAGAGATGTGACTAATGAACAGAGCATATGTTATTTTAGTGCCACGAATGTCTAACTTGTTTATTCTGGACCCTATTTTGAAATTGGCAATCTTTTTTATTTTGTGTGAAATTGGCCAAATTGCCAATTTCTGACCACCATATTGGGTAGTCCAAATTAGTAAATGGGAGGTTTCTTGTACTCAGCTGATAGATAAAATGGAGTTCTAAAGAAATAGCTATGAGTTTGGTCAACTGGAACACTGGAATTGGCTGAAAATTGGGCTCAAAGTCGGCGAAATCGCCGATACGCATATGTCGCCGAGACCGCTAACTTTGCGGGAGCATAATTCCACGAGTTTTCGACCAAATTTTGAACTTTTGGTGTCATTACCATCGGGAAAAGATTCTCTATCATTTCATAAGAAAAAATAATTTTTTTTTTTCAAAAATTGAGCGACATAGAATGACAGTTTCAGAGAGGGGCCTGAAACAGTCAAAGGGTTAAGGAAGGGGTTTAGGATATTGGCAGTTTAGAGGAAACGTCTAGGCAGTCATATCTGAGCGCCTCTGCAAAGACTGATTATGTATGAGTGATGTTGACGAATAATGATGAAAGTATTTTCTTGCTTTTGGGTCATCCTGCCTTGGTGGGAAATGGCTGAGGTGTTAAAAAAAAAAAAAATTAAGTGAACTAAATATTCTTTCTAAATATGCTACTTTTAAATTCATAAATATCTTAATTTACATTGCTCCAGCCTGAAGAAAACAAAAATATAATTATTTTGTACCTTGAAGCATACAATACAGCCATTGGCAAAGGGTCATCAGAAATTTTCAGAGCCTCTGGAACATTTTCCAAGGTGGGGTACAGGACTTCAGCTTGGTCATCATCACCCAACAACCAATGTGCAACAATTCCAAACAATGCTCCCCACCAGCAACACACCTGTGAGATAATTGTTTTAAAAGAACCAAGGTAAGTTCTCATTGAGTCAATAAAATCAGACCACATCGTTTCAGCTGTATTTCTATCCTTCAATAATTATATGTAAAATATCTGCTCATAGGCTTAAGAACCAACAATTCTGATTAGAAAAAAGATATAAAATACTACACATTCATTTGTATGCAAGATTCAAAGCAATCACATACTGATACTGTTCCACAACAAAAGGTTAAGAAATGAAACTTAAATATATTTAAGTATGCACACACACTAGTTTCTTAGAATATAACCTGGCTCAAATGATAATCTGTATTTATCTTTCAATTTCATACCATATTCTTAAGCATCTTCCAGTATTCACAAATTATAAAAACTGACAGATTAAGACCGACCTCATCACGACAAAAAGTCCCAAATGATGCTCCAGATCCATTGTAGGTTTCATTCAAAAGACGGATGTACTCCAGTACGTCTGATGTTTTGGTGCGACGATGAGCATTTTCTTCACATGCATCATCTGCCTTGTTGCCAGGATTCACCAAGGTTGTTATTGCTCGCTCCAGTAAATGCTCTCTGCAAAAACTCTTGAACTGAATATTCAGAAAAAATATACATGCATTATTTGAAATCTCATAAGCCCTCAGCTAATTTTATCTGTATTAGAACAGTGAAAATTAAAATTTCAAAAGTGGTAGGGCAAGAGCCAAGCCTAAAATGATTGAGAAGGCCTAAGACTGGGTAACTTATGTATTTTCACTACAGATTTAGTAGCATGAAGTGACATTTTACGGCAATCATGTACTTACCAAAAGAGGTTATGGATCATAAGCATCCAAGATTATCATTGTGAAACCAGTGCAAATGATATCATAGTATTTCCCAGATTTTTTTTTTTTTCAACAAGTCAGCCATCTCCCACCGAGACAGGGTGACCCAAAAAGAAAATTCCCAAAAAGAAAATACTTTCATCATTCAACACTTTCACTTCACTCACACATAATCATTGTCTTTGCAGAGGTGCCCAGATACAACAGTTTAGAAGCATATATAAAAATGTATAACATACTCCTCCAAACTGCCAATATCCCAAACCCCTCCTTTAAAGTGCAGGCATTGTACTTCCCATTTCCAGTACTCAAGACTGGCTATATAAAAATAATCAGTTTCCCTGAATCCCTTCACTAAATATTACCCTGCTTACACTCCAACAGCTCGTCAGGTCCCAAAAACCATTCATCTCCATTCACTCCTATCTAACACACTCACGCACGCTTGCTGGAAGTCCAAGCCCCTTGCCCACAAAACCTCCTTTGCCCTCTCTTTCCAACCTTTTCGAGGATGACCCCTACCCCGCCTTTCTTCCCCTACAGATTTATACACTCTCCAAGGCATTCTACTTTGATCCATTCTCTCTAAATGACCAAACCACCTCAACAACCCCTCTTCAGCCCTCTGACTAATACTTTTAGTAACTCCACACCTCTTCCTAATTTCCACAATCTGAATTCTCTGCGGCGGCAGCGGCAGCAGCAGTAGTAGCGGAGATGGACAGAAGTAGTAATGGGGAAGTAAGGAAGAGGAGCCAGTCAAATACAAAGCAAGGGGAGCACTGCAAGGGAGCTAGGTGCCCACAGAGAGAGAGCAAGAACACAGAGGTGGGGGGAGTGGAAAAATAAAGAAATAAATAATGAAGGAACAGAAACACAAGACAAGAAAGACAACCCAGAAGAGAAAAAAGGAAAGAGGAAAGGGGAAGAGGGAGAAGAAAAAAAGAGGAATCAGGTTAAGTCATGGGTGTTCTGAAGTCTGGAGCATTTTACAATGTAGTGGGAGAGGAAGGCATCTTCAGAGACGAAGCCACGACTAAGATTCATACAAGGAAAGTTGTGTATTAGGGAGGATTCAACAAGACAGCAACTGTGTATACATAAACATGTATGTGACCTATGTGTAAGTAGAAGTAGCAAGACATACCTGAAATCTTGCATGTTTGTGAGACAGAAAAAAAGTCACCAGCAATCCTACCATCATGTAAAACAATTACAGGCTTTCGTTTTACACTCACTTCGCAGGACGGTAGTACCTCCCTGGGTGGTTGCTGTCTACCAACCTACTACCTGATATTTCCTAAAATAATATACATCAGAGTATAAAATATGAATCAGCATTGCTATGTCAACCAACATACAAGTTAATTCAAGCTGTATAAAATACAGAATATGGTTATTAAGCCTTTCAGTGTTCATGCCATTGTATCATGACTTTGAAGCCAGTGTTGGTCCTGTAGTATGATGCCACGAGTTCAGCTCATTCAGATTAGCTGTGAGCAGTAAATTTGGGCCTAGATATGAGAGAATGGGTCTGTGTGTGCACCATATAAAAAAAGTCCTGCAGCACACAGTGCATAATAAGAAAAAAACTGCAACCATGTTTTTGGTTTAAAACAATGAATTTGCATTTTATTTTTGTAAGAGTTTTAAGGTTGTATTCTCAGTTTCTTGGTCTCATTTGATAGAATGGAAAATATAGTACAGAAATAGAGATGATTTTGACTAGTTTCAGGACTGAGCATAACTTGAAATTGAGCTCAAAGTAGTGGAAATGTTTGATTTTTGCTGATATTCCGGAGTACACACGATGTCATTTGTCCAAAACTTGTCCAAGTGGCCAGTCTAATATGCATTTATGAATGCACTGGCATTATTTATACAATTATTACAATAATGCAGTAGTCTGCATAAAAGTAAATTTTCAATTTTTTGTATGAATAAAAATTCAAAATGACAAACAAGCGTAATGTAAAAGGGGCCTGAAGATGTGACTAAGGAGCACAGGAAATGTTTATTTAGTACTGGAAATGTCTACACTGTACATTCTGGACCCTATTTTGAAACTGGCAATTGTTGAATTTTGTGTGAAATTGGCCAAATTACCAATTTCTGATCACTTTATTGGGTAGATGAAATAGCTAAATGGGCATTTTCTTGTACTTACCCAATGGAAGGAATACTAGTGAAATAGCTATGGGTTTCGTCAACTGGAACAATGGAAGTGGCCAAAAATAGTGTGTACAGTGGGCGAAACTGCCAATGCAAAAGTGTTGCTACTGCCGCTAACTTTGCAAGAGCATAATTCCGTTAAGTTTTCCATCAAATTTCGTACTTCAGAAAAAGATTCTCTAATATTTCATATATTTTTTTTTTAATTCTTTGACCTCGAGAGCAAGACTGCAAGCAGGGATCGTGACACTGAAAGGGTTAATTATCCCTAGTGTGCCTTTACAATTGGGAATGATCTGCATACACAAAAAAAAAAGCGTCAATGTATGAGCAAGTGTTATATATTCAACTTCAAGTGGTGTTTTTAAGGGCATGTGGTAACAGACTTCAAATGGTGAGAAGAGCATTATGTCAACCTATGTCTCAACTTTCAAAATGAAATACGACAAATAATGAGGATGGGTTATTTCAGGAAGATAGGAGTAATCAGGAGTAGTGTATGATCAAGAATGAGTACTGACACATGAGATAATTGAAGTTAAAGATGGGGAATCAGAAGTTATACTTGAGAATGGCTTGAAAAATTATAGGTTGAAAGGTAATCTGATTGTAAAGTATACAAAAAAGCAATGTGTATAAACCTAAGGAGAAGGGAAAGGTAATTAGGATAATAAAAAAAAATGCTTTATAAAAATAATAGAGCATAAGAACAATGGACCCCTAGGTAGTAGGTTGGTAGACAGCAACTGCCCACGGAGGTACTACCATCCTGCCAAGTGAGTGTACAACAGAAACCTGTAATTGTTTTACATGATGGTAGGAATGCTGGTGTCTTTTTCTGTGTCATAAACATGCAAGATTTCAGGTACATCTTGCTACTTCTACTTAGACTTAGGTCACACTACACATACATGTACAAGTACATACATACACACCCCTCTGGGTTTTCTTCTATTTTCTTACTAGTTCTTGTTCTTGTTTATTTCCTCTTATCTCCATGGAGAAGTGGAACAGAATTCTTCTTCCATAAGCCATGCGTGTCATAAGAGGCGACTAAAATGCCGGGAGCAAGGGGCTAGTAACCCCTTCTCCTGTATATATTACTGAATTTGAAAGGAGAAACTTTGTTTTTTTCTTTTGGGCCACCCCGCCTCGGTGGGATACGGCCGGTGTGTTGAAAGAAAGAAAGGAAGAGAGAAAATTTCATTTTTCTTTTTTAGGTAACCCTGCCTTGGTGGGATATGGCTGGTTTGTTGGGAAAAAAAAAAAGAACGATGGAATATATTAGAAGGGCATCTTTAGGGGGAGAATATTTAAATCAATGTTATTAACATTTGGTTAACTAAATGGTTGTATTATTTTATAAAATTCTTGAAAGTTTCACCACCAACCTGTATAACAGCAGCAGATAAGCTAATGGATCAGCTTTATCTGTAAGTTGGCTGAACATAGACTCACGGTGAGCATCGTAAGACCATTTGTGTGAAACAAAGAACCGTTTGCCGGATGGTGTAAACAACCAGTTAAGGGAAGAAAACCCAGATTTGTCAGTCTTGAAAAACTTCTGCTTAGCCTGTGCTAACAACATACGAGCGGTGATGCGCCAGCGTTCTGGAAGAGATTCTTTAGCTCTGAGAGCAGATGTTACCAACATTTCTGCCATTTCTCCACCTGTAAAATCAATAGAACGATTAAAGATATTACCAAATATATAATGTATTTTATCTGTACTCAACACAATCACAGCCAAACTTGTTTTAGGACTTACTTCATAAGGCACTCATTAATACTGCACTTGTAAGGCACTCGGCCAACTGGCCGGGTGGTTTGCACACTGGGCTGGAGTTTTAGGACTCGTTCACCATGAGTTCAAACCCCACCCATTCTGTATTCTTTTTTGCAATCGTGTTATTACAATTTCGTGAGGCATATGGCTAGTAAACATCATACAGGGAAATGCTGATAGAAATGGGACATCACACAATAATAATTTTACATAAAGTGAGGGGGAAACTCTCTAACATACAAAAATAGAATACAGTGTATATTAAATCCATGAAGTTAAACACTGAAGATTACCTGCAACTTGTCCACATTCTGCTAGGTTGATGGCAGCTAGAGCTAGATAGAGACCAAGGAGATGTGATGATGAATCCGGTGTATGTCCCATGAGATGCAATTTGTGCAATCTATGATACACATGTGCACACTCACACATGCACTCTTGGATCTCTTCTCGGACAACTCTGTTGAAAGGAATCTAAACTGTAATTTAACCCTTAAACTGTCCAAACGTAGATCTACATTTTTTCAACATTTGAAAGTATGTAAAAAAACGTAGACTTTTTTTTTTTTACATTTGAAAATGTGTAAAAAAAAACTTTGATCTACATTTTTTTTTTGTTATATTTGAAAATACGTAAAAAAAAGTAGATCTACTTTTGGAGCACTACGCATGTGAACGTAGATCTGTTTGGACAGTTTAAGGGTTAATCATTGCCAAAATATAATAAAAGTTTATTCTTCCTCTTTCAACAAACCAGCCATATCCCACAGAGGCAGGGTGGCCCAAAAAGAAAAACAAAAGTTTCTCCTTTTAACTTTAGCAATGTATACAGGAGAAAGAGTACTAGACCCTTGCTCCCGGCATGTTAGTCACCTCTTACAACACACATGGTTTATGCAGGAAGAATTCTGTTCCACTTCCCCATGGAGATATGAGGAAATGAACAAGAACAAAAACTAGTAAGAAAATAGGAGAAAACCCAGAGGGGTGTGTATATACAGTGGACCCCCGAGTTTCGTGATTAATCCGTTACAGAGAGCCTGCTGAAAGTCGAAATTCACGAAACTCGAAACCATTTTCCCCATAAGAAATAATGGAAATAAAATTAATCCGTTCCAGACACCCAAAAATATTAAAATAAAAATCTTTTTTTTTTTTCAAATTAAATAAAGATTTATATACTGAAATCAATGAGAAATCAAGTACATGCATATAAAAAATAATAATAACATTACACTTACCTTTACTGAAGACTTCTGGGCGGATGGAAGACGGGAGGAGGGGATAGGAGGAAGGTGTACACTATTGTTTGGAAGGAGAATCTCCTTCCATTAGGACTTTAGGTAGCAAGTCCTTAACTGGGGTTACTTCCCTTCTTCTTTTAATGCCACTGGGAACAACTTGAGAGTCACTGGACCCCTGTCGCACAAAATATCTGTCCAGAGAGGTCTTTTTCTGGAATTTCTTTAAGATTTCCCTGAAGTGGGACACAACACTGTCATTGTACATGTTGCAGATATGGCTTGTTTCAGCTTGGTCAAGGTGATACTTTTCAACAAAACTTTGCAACTCATTCCACATTCCACACATGTCCTTAATCACTGAAGAAGGAACCTCCTTCACTCTCTTTTCCTCCTCCTCCTCTAGAGCAAGTTCCTCAGCTGTGGTCTGATGCTGTTCCAGTTGAAGCTCTTGCAGTTCGTCAGTGGTTAGCTCTTCCCTGTGGACCTCCACCAACTCTTCCACATCCCCGTCACTCACTTCCAACCCCATGGACTTGCCCAATGCCACAACACCTTCCACAACAGGCAGAGGGTCGGCAGGGACAGGGTCTGCCTCAAACCCTTCAAAATCCCACTGGATCGTGTTCCTCGCTTTAATTACCAAAGGCTTGATTGAGTTTCCTTGGAGTCCATGATGACTTATTAGCAGTTGCAAGCACAAAAACAATGGATTATATGAAATGTACTGTAGAACCCGCGGGGTGATGGTCACGTTGGTAAAAAACGGCACACTGAGCAAAAGGGTGGGGGAGACGGGTTGGTGTGTGCGGGACAGGCGGTGGGTACCAGACGGTCGCTGAAACAGAGGCCAAATTTTCCCAGAAAAACTCGCCAAAGGTCGTTTCACAAAAGTCGGGGCTGCGGAAACCGGGGGCCCACTGTATTATATATTAGTTTGTTTTTGCATGTGTAGTGTGCCTAAGTGAAAGTAGAAGTAGCAGGACATACCTAAAATTGGCAGTTTGTGAGAAAAGAAAAAAAACACCGCAATCCTACCCTCTTGTAAAAAATTTCAGATTTCCTTTTATATTCACTTTAGGAGGTTACCCCCATGGGCGGGTTTCTGTCTACCAACCTATACCCAGAAAAAGTTTATTCTTTTTTTTTAACCACCGGCCGTATCCCACCCAGGGGGTGGTGGTCCAAAAGGAAAAAAGAAAATTTTTTCCTTTTCATTTAGTAATATAACAGGGAAGGGGGGTTTCTAGCCCTTATCCGGCATTTTAGTCGCCTCTTACAACACGCATGGCTTACGGAGGAAGAATTCTGTTCCACTTCCCCATGGAGGTAAGAGGAAATAAACAAGAACAAGAACTAGAAAGAAAATAGAAGAAAACCCAGAGGGGTGTGTATATATATGCTTGTACATGTATGTGTAGTGTGACCTAAGTGTAAGCAGAAGTAGCAAGACGTACCTGAAATCTTGCATGTGTATGAGACAGAAAAAAAAAGACACCAGCAATCCTACCATTTTATGTTCACTTGGCAGGATGGTAGTACCTCTATGGGCGATTGCTTTCTACCAACCTACTACCCAGAAAAAGTTTACTACAGTGTTTAATTTCTTATTATGGAAAGTATATTGATCTAATATAATACCAAAGATGCCTACTGGGTTGCTTGCTTGCATGTACTTCCATCTTTTGACTGAATAGGAAATCCCCAGCAACACTGTGTTAGAGGGTTAAGTGGTTTGTTTTCAATCATGTTAGTATGATTTCGTGAGCCTTCTGTTTCCATTTTCTGCAGATAGTGTCCCATATTTAGCTTTCTCTCTCTCATTTTTTACATTTTTGCAAGGTCATTTAACCAAGTGTTATCCTTATGCTCCTCTTATTCATTTCTCTGCAGGTAGGTACAAACTATTGACACTTTCTGCATTTATTTTGAAGGCATAAAATTTCCTAGCTGGGTTTTCCCTCCTAAGCTAGGTGTCCTGCTAATGTATTAGCAGATCATGATAATTTTTTTTTTTTTAAATGTTTAATTTGCTACAGTCAAATGTACATTCATTTTGTTATTAATTCATGTCATTAACCCTTAAACTGTCCTAAATTATATCTACGTTGTTAAAGCTAGCGCTCCAAATGTAGATCGACGTTTTATTTTTCCTGCCTTCAAATTTGGCGTGACAGACCTGAGTGGCCTAGACATAAGAGAATGGGTCTGCGCACTCAGTGTGCAGTATGAAAAAAATTGGAGACCCGCGGTACCGCATGATAGCACCAGTTAGTTACAGCACCATCTTGGATCAACATCATGGCAAACTCCTGTGATTGAATCACTCATGCCTTGTAGTATTAACCCCTTGACTGTCGCAACCCCAAATCCTGAGGTGTCTCCTGGTGTCGCAAAAATTAAAAAAAAAAAAAAAAATTCTTGTGAAATGATAGAGAATCTTTTCCCGATGGTAATGACACCAAAAGTACGAAATTTGATGGAAAACTTACGGAATTACGCTCTCGCGAAGTTAGCGACCTCAGCGATATTAACGAATCGATGATTTCCCCCACTTTGAGCCCTATTTTCGGCTAATTCCATTGTTCCAGTCGACCAAACTCATAGCTATTTCTTTAGAACTCCATTTTTTCTATCGATTGAGTACAAGAAACTGCCCATTTACCGATTTCAACTACCCAATAACGTGGTCAGAAATTTGCAATTTGGCCAATTTCACGAAAATTAAAAAATATGACAATTTCAAAATAAGGCCCAGAATGAACAATGCAAACATTCCTGGCTCTAAAATAACATTCTCTTTGTTCATCAGTCACGTCTCCAGGTCCCTCTGATATTACTCTTGCTTTCTATTTTGAATTTTTATTCAAACAAAAAATAGAAGATTTACTGTTATGCAGACTACTGCAATATTGTAATAATTGTATAAATAATGTCAACCCATTCATGACTGCATATTAGAATGGCTACTAGGACATTTATTGAAAAATGACATCATTTGTTTACTTTTGAACATCGGCAATAATCAAACATTTTCCCTACTTCCCTACTTTTCTTTTCATAGTAAAACCGATCAAAATCACCTCCATTTCTATAATATGTTTTCCATTCTATCAAATGAGACCAAGAAAATGAGAATACAACCATAAATACTATACGAAAATAGACCACAAAGTTGGCGTTTTAATTAAAAAAAAAACGGTTGGAGTTTTTTTTTTCTCATTATGCATTGCGTGCTGCAGGATTTTTTTTTGTATGGTGCACACTGACCACAGACCCATTTTCTCACATGTGGGCCTACCAGCTTTCTCCTACTTGATTTGAAGCCGCTAGAATTTATGAGTATAGTACACGTATATACATCAAACACGGTGGCTCGTAAGATGTATATTTTTTTTTTTTTTTTTTTTTATTATCACACCGGCCGATTCCCACCAAGGCAGGGTGGCCCGAAAAAGAAAAACTTTCACCATCATTCACTCCATCACTGTCTTGCCAGAAGGGTGCTTTACACTACAGTTTTTAAACTGCAACATTAACACCCCTCCTTCAGAGTGCAGGCACTGTACTTCCCATCTCCAGGACTCAAGTCCGGCCTGCCGGTTTCCCTGAATCCCTTCATAAATGTTACTTTGCTCACACTCCAACAGCACGTCAAGTATTAAAAACCATTTGTCTCCATTCACTCCTATCAAACACGCTCACGCATGCCTGCTGGAAGTCCAAGCCCCTCGCACACAAAACTCCTTTACCCCTCCCTCCAACCCTTCCTAGGCCGACCCCTACCCCGCCTTCCTTCCACTACAGACTGATACACTCTTGAAGTCATTCTGTTTCGCTCCATTCTCTCTACATGTCCGAACCACCTCAACAACCCTTCCTCAGCCCTCTGGACAACAGTTTTGGTAAATCCCGCACCTCCTCCTAACTTCCAAACTACGAATTCTCTGCATTATATTCACCCACACATTGCCCTCAGACATGACATCTCCACTGCCTCCAGCCTTCTCCTCGCTGCAACATTCATCACCCACGCTTCACACCCATATAAGAGCGTTGGTAAAAACTATACTCTCATACATTCCCCTCTTTGCCTCCAAGGACAAAGTTCTTTGTCTCCACAGACTCCTAAGTGCACCACTCACTCTTTTTCCCTCATCAATTCTATGATTCACCTCATCTTTCATAGACCCATCCGCTGACACGTCCACTCCCAAATATCTGAATACGTTCACCTCCTCCATACTCTCTCCCTCCAATCTGATATTCAATCTTTCATCACCTAATCTTTTTGTTATCCTCATAACCTTACTCTTTCCTGTATTCACCTTTAATTTTCTTCTTTTGCACACCCTACCAAATTCATCCACCAATCTCTGCAACTTCTCTTCAGAATCTCCCAAGAGCACAGTGTCATCAGCAAAGAGCAGCTGTGACAACTCCCACTTTGTGTGTGATTCTTTATCTTTTAACTCCACGCCTCTTGCCAAGACCCTCGCATTTACTTCTCTTACAACCCCATCTATAAATACATTAAAACAACCACGGTGACATCACACATCCTTGTCTAAGGCCTACTTTTACTGGGAAAAAATTTCCCTCTTTCCTACATACTCTAACTTGAGCCTCACTATCCTCGTAAAAACTCTTCACTGCTTTCAGTAACCTACCTCCTACACCATACACTTGCAACATCTGCCACATTGCCCCCCTATCCACCCTGTCATACGCCTTTTCCAAATCCATAAATGCCACAAAAACCTCTTTAGCCTTATCTAAATACTGTTCACTTATATGTTTCACTGTAAACACCTGGTCCACACACCCCCTACCTTTCCTAAAGCCTCCTTGTTCATCTGCTATCCTATTCTCCGTCTTACTCTTAATTCTTTCAAGATGTATATATATGACCAAAACAGTCAAAGGGTTAACACTCCCTTATTCGAGGAAAGTGATATAGAACACAAGTTTAGTGGATTTGAGACCGATGTGGCCACTAATGATCAAGGAATTAGTGAAAATGTTGATGATAACCCAGATGACTCTCAGCCCATCACCTCTGGTGTGGACAGCGTGGCCACACCAGACCCTCAGCCAAGCACCTCTGGGATGACCAGTGTTACTGCTCAAAGACAACTATGCAAGCAGAAATTATCATTTTCCTGCAGTTTTTTTGATATTGGAAGTGATATAAGTGACAAGATTGATTTTATGCCCTTGGAGGATTCGTCGAGTGATAGTGATGTACATTATTCCCCAGTGAAGCGTAACTTGAGACGTCGTCGCCTATGTTCAGTGTGACATATGCAGTCCCCAAGGGTCGTGGGAGGTCATGACAGAAAACCTCGGCCACTGATAGTGATACTGATCATGAAGGAGAATATGTGGGGATGGAGGAAGAGGTGGTGGTGGGTGGTATGGTGCCTGGACCGCATGGCTTGGTCGGTGGGCAGACAAAGGACAGCCCAGCACCCCCTCAACCATGTGCTGCCTCCACTCCCATCCCTACTCCCCCATGCCCCATGCCACAGGTCCACCCTGCACCACCAGACCATGAATGGACCTGGACAACGTACACCATTCATGCCACATCCTTGCAATTTTGATGCCAGTGGAAGTGGCATCCTGCCAGAATGTCCCATCACGAATGAGTCTACAGAGTTAGAGTATTTCCAACTATACTTTGACAACCTTATAATGAGCTTGATTGTCACCCAGACGAACAAATACTACCGCTATATAATGGTCAACACAGAGGTTGCACAATCGCCATGGATGCACAGGTGGAAGATACAACTGTGGACAAAATGCATTGATTCCTTGGCACCGTCAAGCTTATGCAACATATGTATAAGCACAACATAGCGCAATACTGGTCCACAGTCTACTTCATCAGTACTCCAGTCTTCCGTGACCTCCTTACCTGCAACAAATTCACTCTGTTGCTACAAATGTTGCACTTCTCAGACAGGAATATGCCCAACAGAAATGACCTACTATTACAAAATCCAGGAAGCGTTTATGTATTCAGTGCCTACTTTTATCTACGCACAAACACTGTCGTCGACGAGTCCTTGAATCTGTTCAAGGGACGACTGTCATTCAAACAATATATACCAAGCAAACGTAATCACTTTGATATAAAACTCTTTACATGTGACTGTGAGACTGGTGTTGTGTTGGATGTCATTATCTACACAGGAAAAAATACACTTGACGATACCAGGCGGATGTTGGGCATTTCCAGTGATGTTGTTCGCAAGATGATGGAGCAATACCTTGGCAAGGATCACACACTGTACACAGACAACTGGTATACAAGCCCTATGCTCGCTGATTTCCTCTGTGTGAACAATACTGAAACATGTAGAATAGTGAGAAGAAATAGAAAACACATGCCAAGGTTCACTGGAGGCAGTGCTAAAGGTGCAGTGTGTCTCATGCCAATGATATCATGGCACTGATGTGGCATGACAAATGGGATGTGACGCTGCTGTTGACCATCCACAGAAATGAGATGGTACAGAGTGAAGAGGGACACCAATGAACGAATTGTAAAGCCAGTTGCTATTGTCGACTATACAAACAATATGCAACTAGTCGACAATTGTAACATGCAAATAGGGTTCACTGATTGTGTGTGTAGGAGTCGCAAGTGGTACATTAAAGTGTTTTTCCACCTTGTAGACATTGCAATGCTCAATGCCTTTAACATGTACGAAATAAAGACTGGGAAACAAATACGCTATGCAGAATTCATCCTCAGTGTCATAAAGCAGATACAGCAGACCCTTACATTATACGGATTTATTTGGTACGTTTTGGTTAACACACTACTGAAAAACCGTGGCATAATTTTATACAACACTACATAAAATTAACTTAACACAGTTAGGTTTGTGGGAGGGGAAAAAAATTTGGAGCGTCGCCTGCAGGATATTTCCCTAGCTGAGGCCGCCACCTGGCTGTAGGCAAGACCACTGTCTCCACAGGGCTGCACCAGGCTTCAAGGCAGCAAAGGATCGCTTCACTTTGCTCCTCTGCGGTAATGAGTCAGGCGATTTCAAGTGTAAGCCCATGGTTATTTACCGCTTTAAGAATCCTCGTGCTCTGTAAGGTGTAGATAAAAAGAAAAAAAAAACCTTACCAGCAATTTGGAGGTCAGAGGAAATATTTATTGACTGGTTTAAGCATTACTTTATTCCTGAAGGCAAGTTTTACCCACACAGCAAGAGCCCTGCAGTTAAGGCCCTCTTCATTCTTGATAATTCCCGTACTCATCCACAAGCTTTGCTGGATGTGACCCCACATGTAAAAGTTGTATTTTTACCTCCAAATGCATCTTTAATACAACCACTGGACTGGGAAGTTATTCAAGTGTAGCTACACAAGAAAAGTGATGAAAAAACTAGTTGCATCAATAGACTCTGACTCCAACCTGGCAGTACCAAGCTTCTGGAATAATGTATAATGTACTGCAGGGCAAAAGAAGCCAGAGATCCATTACAGAATTTATGCAAACTCCAATACAGGTAAATAATAATACAGTGGACCCCCGCTTAACGATCACCTCCAAATGCGACCAATTATGTAAGTGTATTTATGTAAGTGCGTTTGTACGTGTATGTTTGGGGGTCTGAAATGGACTAATCTACTTCACAATATTCCTTATGGGAAAAAATTCGGTCAGTACTGGCACCTGAACATACTACTGGAATGAAAAAAGTTCGTTAACCGGGGGTCCACTGTATTCCTGTTGCATCTGTAGTCTTAAGCAACAAAAACAACATTATCATTTTTATTTTTGTAAGATCTGGATGTCTAAAAAAAAAAGGTTGTTTGGCTTTCGGGGGATTCCCAGGAACATAACCTTATTTTTCCAACAAGTTTTTCAGTTTATATAACATGGATTTATATAACATGGTATTTTCAGGAACGTAACTACCGTGTAATATGAGGGGGTCTACTGAAGTAAAAAAGTATAATGTCACACCTGTACCTGCCCCTCAACAAGTGACCTGTCCCCCAACCACAACCACAGGGGAAAGTGCCAGAGCAAATACTCCCTAACTGTCAATGCCAGATACAGATACCATCTACCCCAAAAAAGAAGTATGTATTTTCAGAAAGTGTGTTGTGTATGCTAACACCACAAGGTGACCCCAACTACAAAAGGACACACAATTCATGTGTCAGCAATGTGGGGTGGCATTTTGTATGAATCCATGCTTCATGGAGTATCATACAATGCTGGAGTTCTAGAAACATAACTGAGACATGTAAATACCTTGTATATAGTTGTGATTGAATCAGGTGTACAAATTCATCAGTGTGAACATGTGTGTTTATGACAAACATTTGTGTCTAAACAACAATTGGCTATGAAATCAAAAGATCTGCAACAAAACATAATTATCATAACATAAACACTACGAAAATTACAAAAGAATTGAAAAAAAATAAAAAATAAATCTTTAATATTTCCGCAAACAGCAACGCTCCATGTTGCCGTCACCTGAGCTTTCAGCGCCAACTTCGTGGACTTATATCTCAGTAAGTGCTGACCCTCAGTTTTTTTATCTTATTACATGCACAATATTGCCCTCTTCATTTAAAAAAAAAAAAACTTTTTTCAAAATATTTGGAGCTCTGGCAGTGAAAACGTAGATGTACGTTTGGACAGTTTAAGGGATAAATGCTGATTTCATACAAAACTAAAATAATCCTCAACTGTCAAACCTTTTCTATTTTAGCACAATGCAATAATTTACAGAACATTACAAAAAAGTGTTAATCATTTTTATCTCTACTTACTTTAACCTTTCATAATTTTGTTAAGAAAATATGAGCATAAAACTCACGGCTCAAGAAAAAGACCACCGGCATATTTTGCAAGCCAGCGTCCCAGGTAAAGGCGTTGTAAAACCTGTCGAATTCCTTGCCATAGGACTGAAAAGACCCTCTCCAGTAATGTGCTAGGTAAAGGTCGTCCCACTGCCATTAAAGATAATCCATACTGCTGGCAGGCACTGCTGTAGTTACCCTGTAAAAAAGTAAATGAATATATATACTTTCATGTAATTACTGTACCTATACTATGCTATATTAATGAGCCAAAATTTAATTAATGGTACATTTTGCTTAGGCAAAGAAATGCAATATACAGGAAGGCCCCGCTTTACGGCGTTTCACTTTACGGCGTTCCGCTAATACGGACATTTCAAATTATGACCAAAACTCACTATACGGCTCCCCCCACCTGACTTTCTAATACGGTCACCGTGCCCCACCCTGTTTGTTTACATTCTCCATGAGCTCAGTAAGCACTAAGTCTCTCCATTTTGTCTGGAAACTCCAAAATTTCAAATGTTTTTAAAAGTTATTTCATATTTTATATATACTCTGATAATTATACTTATGTATACCTGTACCTAAATAAACTTACATACTGTGCTGGCATGCAGGTACACATTAAAATTGGTAAGTGTCTTATGTCTCCAGACGTCATATTAGTAATGATAATAATAATCATCGAGTCATTTAAATGTCGTATATTACGTTAATATACACATTTTCATTAATCCATCCATGATATTTTTTTCAAAATTATATAATAAACACGATGCATAACATATAAATAAGATAAATACACCCCACAGTAGAATAAATAAACATAAATGTGAGATGTGGTAGCAGACGACTTGCACAAGTGACGCCATATTAGAAATGATAATAATAATAACAATACTCACCGAGTCTCATTAAATGTCGTATATTACGTTAATATACACATTTTCATTAATCCATCCATGATATTTTTTTCAAAATTATATAATAAACACGATACATAACATAAAAAGATGATAAATACACCCCACAATAGAATAAATAAACATAAATATAAGATGTGGGAGCCACATAACTTGTACAAGTGACGGCAAGAATAACATTTTCTCTAATCTAACATAAGATAAAATGTGTTACTGGGGGTAACTGTAGAAAATTATTCCTTTTGTATGTATGTAAGTAAGTTTATTCAGGTATACACAAATACAGTTACATAGATTATCATACATAACAACATACGTGTAGAGAACCTAGGATAACCCAAAAAAGTCAGTGTGACTTACTTCCATTGCCTTCACTCAGAGCTTCATTTCTTCTCAAAATGATGTTACATGAGAATGGGAGTGTTCTTCTTTATTAATTCTACCGTATCAATGTAGAGACAACCTGTACACAATGTAACTTGTACACAAACCAGACGTGTACACTTCGTTTGTTTACAAAACTTACGTTCGCCTGGTTTGTTTACATAACTCTGCGCCTGTCCCCTCTCATGTACTCATTCTTTCTCTCTCTCATTTATTCGTTTTATCTCATTTACTTACTCCTGACCCTACATTAAGACTACAAATATTTTAAGGTAAGTAATGAGTGAACTGTATATACATTTTATCGCTCTGGGATGCTTAAATATCATAGAATAGTATGTGTGGGTGGGGTGGCCTGGTAAGGTAGCCTGGCTATTACCATACATACCACACTTGATTTCTTACAATAAATACTACTTGTCTCACCCTAGATTAAGACTATAAATATTTTAAGGTAAGTAATGAGTGCACTATGTGTGTATTGTACTTTTTTATTGTTTTTTGATGCCTGGTTCTATTGCTAACTTAATATATGTTAGTGTAAACTTGTTATCTAGTGTTTGTATGCATTTATAAGTGGAAAAAAAGGGTGTTCCACTTTACGGCGGTTTCCGCTTTACGGCGGTAGCCTGGAACCTAACCTGCCGTATAAGTGGGGCCCTCCTGTACAAATAATCTGCATGTAAGAGAAAAAGTTTCTGATGTTTGGGCATGACTTGGATCATTAACCCTTTCAGGGTTTCAGACGTACTAGTACGGCATACGCACCAGGGTTTTTGACATACTAGTACACCTAAATTCTAGTGCCCTCAAATCTAGTGAGGGAAAGCTGGTAGATCTACATATGAAAGAATGGGTCTATGTGGTCAGTGTGCGCAGTATAAAAAAAATCCTGCAGCACACAGTGCGTAATGAGAAAAATTTTTTTACTGTTTTTGGATGAAAACAGCGACTTTGCACTGTATTTTCGTATGGTATCTAATGTTGTATTCTAGTTTTCCTGGTCTCACTTTGTAGAATGGAAGACATATTACAGAAATTGAGATGATTTTGACTGGTTTTACAATGAAAAGTACCTTGAAATTGAGCTCAAAGTAGCAGAAATGTTCGATTTTTACCAAAGTTCAAAAGTAAACAAATCATGCTAAGCGTCCAATACATGTCAACTGGTGAGTCTAATATCCTTTCACAAGTGTGCTGATATTATTTATACCATTTCTACACTAATACAGTAGTCTGCATAACAGTAAATCTTCTATTTTTTGTGAGAATAAAAATTCAAAGAGGAAAGCAAAAGAATGTAAGAGGGTCTGGGGATGTGACTGATGAACAGAGGAAATGTTATTTTAGTGCCAGGAATGTCTTTCTTGTTTATTCTGGACCCTATTTGGAAATTGGCATCTTTTGAAATTTGTGTGAAATTGGCAAAATTGCTAAATTCTGACCACTGTATCGGATAGTTGAAATCGGTAAATGGGTGGTTTCTTGTACTCATTCGATAGAAAAAATGGAGTTCTAGCGAAATAGTTGAGTTCTGTCGACTAGTACACTGGAATTGGCCGAAAATAGGGCTGAAATTGGGCAAAATCACCGATGCGTAAACATCATCGAGACCGCTAACTTCGCGAGAGCATAGTTCCTAAGTTTTCCATCAAATTTCATACTTTTGGTGTCATTATGATCGGGAAAAGATTCTCTATCTTTTCATAAGAAAATTTTTTTTTTTTTTTTTTGAAATTTGGGCGACAATGAGAACAAGCCTGGGAGAGGGCCTGGGGACCCTGAAAGGGTTAACTAGTCACACTAACGCATGAAGGAGAGGAAGCCAGTATATATACGAGAAGAGGGCAGGGACTGGACAAACAAATGCCAGGTTGTTTGCATTTATGTGGTTTCCCCCAAAATAAAACCAGTTTGTCCAAACTATTGGCAAAATTTTAAACAAAACTGTCCACCATAACCCAAGTATCTAAATATAGATTTTATACATAATTTATAAAAAACATTAAATTTACTTAAATTAATTTATTAACATACCGACCGTATCCTACTGAGGTAGGGTGACTTTCACCATCACAGTTTTGCCAAACTGGCACCAACATACAACTTAGATGCCCATCCAAATTATAATATCCCCACCCCTCTTTCAGAGTGTAGGCACTGTACCTCTCTCCTCCAGGACTCAAAGTCCAGCTAACAATTTCCCTGAATCCCTTCATGTTACCTTGCTCACACTCCAATAGCACGTTAAGTACTGTTAAAATTAACAAAAATATTGAGATGATTTTGGGAGGGAGATCTGCCTTCAGATAATTTAGGGTAAACAATTAGGGTTAATAGTATAAAATTTGAATATCTGTCATTTTTTTTTTATTAACAAGTCGGCCGTCTCCCACCGAGGCAGGGTGACCCAAAAAGAATGAAAATCCCCAAAAAGAAAATACTTTCATCATTATTCAACACTTTCACCTCACTAACATATAATCACTGTTTTTGCAGAGGTGCTCAGAATACAACAGTTTAAAAGTACGTATATACGTATAAAGATACACAATATCCCAAACCCCTCCTTTAATTGAAGAAGTTGCCTACTTCAAAGATTAAGGAAATGTGTGCAATGTGGCTTAAAGTGCAAACCTTTTTTGATGAAAAATCACCCTGACACAGCTACTGCAAGCCGTGTTGGCAACCTGTACACTGACAATGTTGTGAAACACTTTAGGAATGTCATAAAGGAACGGGAGGTACAGGCCTCTATGAACAGATATGTTGTGCGACAGAGGTCCAGTGACTCTCAAGCTGGTCCTAGTGGCATTAAAAGAAGAAGAGAAGTAACCCCAGAAAAGGACTTGCCACCTCAAGTCCTTATGGAAGGGGATTCCCCTTCTAAACACTTACACCATCAACACTCTCCCCTCCTCCCATCCCATCAATCATCACCAGATCTTCAATAAAGGTAAGTGTCATGTAACTGTGCATGTCTTCTTCAGTTTGTGTGTATTAAAATTAATATTTCATGTGGTAAATTTTTTTTTTTTCAATACTTTGGGGTGTCAGGAACGGATTAATTTGATTTCCATTATTTCTTATGGGGAAAATTAACTCGATTAACAATAATTTTGATTAACGATGAGCTCTCAGGAACGGATTAATATCATTGGTCGAGGGTCCACTGTACTTTCATACATTCCCCTCTGTCTCCATAGATAACGTTTTTTGTCTCCACATATACCTCAACACACCACTCACTTTTCTTCCTTCATCAATTCTATGATTAACCTCATCCTAGAAAGTAGAAAGGTAGGAATAGTTAGTGGTATGGGTTTTGGCAGGAAAACAGTGAAGTCCCAGTGTAGTAATATTACGAGTTCTAGGGGAACTAGTAATAAGCAGAACGAGGTAGATATTGAAAAGCCAGGGACTCTGGGTGATAAGGACAGTAATAGGTTTAGTAGAAAAACAGAAATGAGCAGGAAGGGTAAAGAGAAAGGAGAGTCTTTCAATGTTTATTATGCTAATTGCCGTAGTGCTAGGAATAAGATGGACGAGTTGAGATTAGTTGCTAGTGCAGGTAACATTGATGTATTTGCCTTAACTGAGACATGGTTTAATTCAAAAAGTCGGGACATGCCTGCGGAATGTCATATTCAGGGTTTTAAATTGTTCCAAGTAGATAGAAGTATCGGGAAGGGGGGTGGGGTGGCATTGTATGTCCGAGATCGCTTGAACTGTTGCATAAAAACGGGTATTAAGTCTGAAGTAACACATACAGAGTCTGTTTGGATAGAATTTTCAGAGGGGCATGAAAAACTGATTTTAGGAGTGATATACCATCCCCCAAACTTAGATAGGGACCAAGGGAGACTACTATGGGAGGAAATTGTTAAGG